TGTCATTCATTGTGGCTAGTAGAAAACGCAGTCTGGGGGTCGCAGTTTAGAAAGTGGTGGGCGGACGAGTTAGTGAACGAGTTAATGGAGGCGGGGAATCACGACTCCCGAGTCAGTAAAGTGAATCTCGAGTTTTGAACGATTCGTTCACGAATCGCACATCACTACTAGAGATGCAACACTGACATTTCCCCATTTACATGAACACACTGTAAAGTTTTGTTTGACTCTAAAGGGGTGATAGGAAAGACATTTTGGCTCGAATCAAAAGCACATCTGGAATGTAGGTTAATAAAGCGGCAGGTGCAAATCAGTGCAGTGATGACAAAGAGGTGAGTTTGATCTGGAACTTTATTAATCCAAGAATCATTTTTACAGCAGCCATTGAACCGCGGTCGACCTCGATACACGTGGAGGTGTAACGACTCAGAAACATCACATTTGGTTTGATTCTCGGTGCAGATGGAAAACATGATCAAGTGGTGACCATTTTGTAAAACCTCCACAGTTGTGTTGTGTTTTATCATTTTTTATCATGTTGTAAATGTTGTTGGTATTTCTGTGTGTTGCTGTTCCCTGTGTATGTGTGGGTGTGTGTGTTTATGAATTGGTGTTCCTGCCTCTGTTGTGTGTGTGAGTGTGTTCGCCGATGCGGAAGTACCGTTTAATAATAAAATAAACTTAATGCGCACCTCCGTGAACACATACTACTGTTATATAAAGTCTGTGGAAGGTCTCTGAACACAGACACGCTGCAGAGCTGCATATTGGAGAAGATCTGTACACAAGAAGCCGCTAGCTAAACTCTGTTAGCATCAGAGCCCGCCGGTTACTTCCGGCACGCGCCAGGACTTCTGGTCTGAAGATCCCTGCGTCTGAAAACTAGAGAATGTGCGTTTCAGCGTTGGCGGTCTGAACACAGCTTTAGATAAATATTGAACTTTTAGATCAACAATCAACAGGTGTCAAAGATAACTGACCAAACAAATCACCGAATTACCAAAACACGTTTAGGATCACTCTTCATGGTTACATTCTGTAAACGCGGTGGGAGTGCAGCTCACTGTTGAAGACAACTTACAGTTTTTTATTTTTATTTAATCACAATTAAAATGTTCTTTTGCATAAATACTTCTTGTCAAAGGTCAGAATTTAGCATTTTTCCAGTACGTTGGTGTTAGCGGAGAGGGTTCTGTCAGGGATTTTTAAAGCCTAGCGTACATCGACAGAGAAACTGGGGACAACTAGTTGCAAGGCGGCTTTTGGCGACTGAGAGGAGATGGTGGGAGATGATCAGTTGCTGAAATCGGTCGATGTGCGCGCTCTTACAACTGGAGATGATCAGTCGGTCTCCAGTTTCAGTCAGTTGCCCGTGTTCCACTTTTCGGCAACTAGTTGTCCTCAGTTTCGGAGATATGACCCGATGTGCGCGCTCCATGCGCCGCTCCGACAACGTGTGTGTATTGCGTGTTTTGCGAGCCCGCAACAGTTTATGTCAGAAAACACACTGTAGGTGACGGACAGTTGCTGTCGATGTACGCGCTGTTATTCCCGAGACTGGTCTGATACTGGGAGTTGCCCGTTTTCGTCAGATTGTCGATGTGTGCGGGGCAGCAACTGATATGCGACGGATATAATCAGTTGCCAGTCCGATGTACGCTAAGCTTAAGACCTGATTAGAAGAGTTGAAGACTTGATTATCACCGTGGTAACACCTACAGTGTATGTAGGTGGATCTACGGATCTGTGCTGGTTCAAAGCAACAATCCAAAGACTAAGTGGAAAAACATATAAAGAACTTTCTTATGACGTCACAAATCTCATTAAATTGTTGAATGATTAAATAGAGAAATAATATTGCCAGAACAAATCCTGATTTGTTGAATGACTTTTGCCTCCTCCCCCTTTACTGCACCCTCTGTCATAAGTTTACATCAGCACTTGGCCTTACCCTAAAAGTGAAGGGCTAAGGGCGAAGGGTGAGTATTGAGACCTGGCGGTTCAGGAAGTCCAAGCTTCAGAAAACAGCTCTGACCACTCCTCTCACGTCAAGGCTAACTTTAATCACTTTGAGGAAGAAACAGCGAGCGGCGTCTGTGGAGGGTTCTGCTAAGATGCTAAAGCTACAGTCCGAGTAACACTAGAACTTTACTCATTTTCTTTGTTACATTTGACGACAAGTCACAGAATGCCCCTTTAAAAAAAGATGATGAGTGGCCTGTGCATGTGGGCTGCAGTCTGTGTGTGAGTGTGTGTGTGTGTCTGTGTGTGTGTGTGTTTGTGAGGGTGTGTGTTTGTGTCTGAACATGAGGCTGCTGTCACTTCTCAGAAGAACCCTCCCACAGCAGCAGTGTTTACTCTGAGCTGCTGTCACCGTCACACAGAGCCAGACTGCTCCATCAGTAGATTTACCTGATGCCAGAGTCTGATGTTTGAGCTGTATTCAGGACTAAAAAGTTAAGCTCGGCCTGAGAGAAGTCCAAACCAAGCAACAAGTGGGAAGAATAAAGGATATCTTTCTTAATCTGTGTGTTTGTGTTGGTGTCTGTGCGCACTATTGTGAGGTTCAAACCCAACAATGGAGCATCTTTAGATTAGAACTCCCAGGGCAGTCATTTTGACTGCTCCCAATCAAATGAATGGAATTATGGAAAAATTCCTCCATTCTCAAAAAATCAAAACTAAATGGTATCGGCTGCAAGTGAATAGTCTGTTACTATGGTAACTAACACTTGCTCCAACCTGAGACTGCTCTGGACCAGTCCAGTCCAGTGTTTGTGCAGGGACAGGCTTCTTCTCATTTTAAACACTGGTGAAACGTGCCTCACGTCTAAAATGTTTGTGTTCAGCAAAGTGAGCGGTGTTCATGAAGGAGAGCACAGAGCTCTGATCCAGCCGTACACAGAAACAGCTGATAATAAATGTGACGAGATGAAACCAGCGTCATGTGAATGACAGAATACAATGTCCCAGAAATACATTTACAAAAGCGTCAAACATATGTAATAATACTTCACAATATGACTTCAATTATTGTTAGTTTGTCAAAGTATTGCCTCATTCTGAACCCATTTCAGATGTTTCTACTTGCACACACTTCATTTTCTCCATGTGTTAAATAACTACTACTACTTACAATAAACACATTTCCTCTGTTTGAGTGAAAAACATAACATTTTGACAGAAAATAGTGGTGAGTTTTTACACAAACGGTGTTAAAGCGGTCGGATTCAGACAAATGTAAACATCTGCCTTGTGTCAGCGCTGTGCTACCCCAGACTAAACTCTGGGTGTGTGCAGTGAGACTACAGCAGTGGGAGGGGCAGTGTGCTAAGCACCGTCTGAGTGACACAGGACATAGAACAGGTGCTCAGTAAACCAGAGGCATTGGTCACACTTTAGACACTTATGAAACATCAGAGACTTTTCCAGACGGAGGGATGGATGCATGAGTATGTAACTTATTCTGATATTTTCTGTGGACCCCCAGCTGACTGTGGCGAGGGCATTTGGAGCCAGAGGATCCCAGGAGTTATCCACGCTACAATCCAGTGGTTCAGCCACAGTCCGAGTTTGGAATGGAAGCTACACCAACCTTGAAAGCTCACGGTGATGCAGTGGTTAGTGCTTGTGCTTCACAGCAATACGGCCCTGGGTCCGATTCTACCACATGAATCCAACATCTTGTTCTTTATTTCCATCCCCTCCAAAGAATGTAGGCCAGGGGTCTTCAACCTGTAGCTTGCCACACCCTTTCAGGTAGCTCCCCAAAGGTTTCAAGAAATTAACACATGAAATGACTCAAAAGTTAATCAATCAGGATAATTTACATCTATACATCTTTGTCCCATCAAATGACACACATGAAATGAATCCAAACAACATTAGTGACATGTTAGTGCCATATGAACCAGCCCGGACTCTGGGGAGCACAGGGACTGGACTCCTGCTGGGACTCTGAGGAGCACAGGGACTGGACTCCTGTTAGTGTCCAGAGTCAGAACTAAACATGGGGATGCTGCTTTTCAGATTCATGCTGCTAAAATCTGGAACAATCTTCCTCAAAATGCGAGACAGGCCTCCTCTCTGACAATGTTTAAAACCAGGTTAAAAACAGTTCTGTTTAGCTGTGCATACAACTGAGGGATTTTATATGTGTTATCAAATCATCATTATTTTAATGTACTGTGATTATTTATGATTTTAATCTTGTTTTGTTTAGCACTTTGAGTTGCCTTGTGTATGAATTGTGCTGTACAAATAAACTTGCCTTGCCTAGACAACAATTATATGACAAATACTGTCGGAGTAGCTCTCTGCCATTTCTATTTTATGAAAGTAGTTCTCCAAATTGAAAAAAGTTGGAAACCTTTGATGTGAAGGGACAAAAGGACAAGTCAGGTGTTTAAGAAAGCTCGTCAGCGTCTCTACTTTCTGCGGAAAACTTCGAGAATTTACCAAAAACTCTAAGATCTTGCTTCACTTTTATTGTTGCACCATTGACAGTTTTCTTGTTGGTTTGGTGACATCACAGCCAAAGAAAGGAGAGTCTAAACAAGAGAACTGTGAGCTGTGAGCTGCCTGTTCTGAAGGCTCTTTATGAATCCAGACTCTTAAACACAGCTCTTGAAATAATCAATGACTCCTGTGGCTCCTGGAAAAGCCATGTTCCAGCTTCTTCCTTCTGCCAGAACATATCATTCAATGAGACGCAGGACATCTCCATACAGTAACAGCTTATTTCCACAACACAAACAAAGCACTTTTGTCCTTCGATTTCGCAGTGACAATTGATGCACTTTTTCTGGTGCACACTGGAGACTTTTACGCATGTATTCCAAAGTGGTTTTTACTGCAAATTGCAAATAAAATGAATCTGAATCTGAAAGAGTCTCTGGAGGGACCCGGATCTCTCTGGAGGTATCTCACCATTCCACATTTTTATTGAACCCGAACAGTAAACACTCTTAAGCTTGCATTAATAACCCAGCTCCAGGAATATGAAGTTGTGTGATGACTCCAGGCCTCGGAGACGTCCCAGACACCTGCAGACGGCTTCTGTTATGATTAGTGTGAGGCTTTCTTCCACACACGCACACAGGTACACAGAGCGCATTCCACAGGCAAACATTCTGTGTGACACGGTACAGGTCCCTGTACACCCCAGCCCAGCCCAGCAGCAAAGGGCCCCACAACACACCCAGACACCCCAGCCCGGCCCAGCAGCCAGGGACTCCACAACACACCCAGATACCCAGCCTGACCCAGCAGCGAGGGGCTCCACAACACACCCAGACACCCAGCCTGGCCCAGCAGTGAAGGGCCCCACAACACACCCAGACACCCAGCCTGGCCCAGCAGCGAAGGGCCCCACAACACACCCAGACACCCCAGCCCGGCCCAGCAGCGAGGGGCTCCACAACACACCCAGATACCCCAGCCCGGCCCAGCAGCGAGGGGCTCCACAACACACCCAGACACCCAGCCTGGCCCAGCAGCGAAGGGCCCCACAACACACCCAGATACCCAGCCTGGCCCAGCAGCGAGGGGCTCCACAACACTCCCTGACACCCAGCCCGGCAGAGCAAGAAGGAGCCCACAGGAGGGGTTGCTCTCCCCACGACAGAGGGACCCAGCCCAGCGGAGCAGTCAGGGGCCCTCGCAAAACAACACTGCAGTGTTGAGGGGCCTCAGGCTGGAGCTTGAGCTATGACAGAGACAGAGCAGAGCGAGCTGGAGGCTGGTTACATCTCTGGAAATGTCATTTTTTCACACTGATTTCTAATTGTCTGATGGCCCTTCGTTGTCTGACGAAGTGCCTCAGCCCAAAACGTTACTACATGGTCTGTAAATAAAAGACACTGATTGGGAGGGGCAGAGGGCACATACTGGTTGCCTTGTTTCTGTCAGTGTGACCCAGGGCAGCTGTGGTCACACTGACTATGACTACCATAGGTATGAATGTAAATGAGAGAGTGAATGGATGGTGTTGATTGGGGTCGGATGCACCAGTGTGTTCGGCGACTCGCTTCCGTCATCACCGTGTGTGGAATGATTGGAACAATATCTGAACTCTGAACATTGTAAAGCGCTTTGGGTGACCTTGGTCTGTAAAATGCGCTATATAAATAAACATTACTTACTTACTTACTTACCATGTATTGAATGAAAGAATAATGTCATCTGAAGCGTCTTTGAGTGTCCAAAAAAAGCTGTATAAAACCAGTGCATTATTATTATTATTATTATTATTGAATATAAGATAATGTACTTTGAGGTAGAGTGTAATCTGGCTTGAAAACTAAAGCCTGACCCGAACCTGACTTCAACCCAACAAGACCTCCTCAAACAGACTGCATGACTCTAACTCACCAATGGATGTTGGAGGCTGCATCACGGAGAGTGGAGTGCTGCTGACACACAGAGGGAGGAGGAGCTACTCATGTTGTGGCCCCTGTCTGCCTGAGTCGGGCTGGGGTAGTTCACATTGTACAGGCAGCCCTATAGGTAATAATAATAATAATACATTTTATTTAAAAGCGCCTTTCTAGACACCCAAGGACACTGTACAGGACATAATAAAAAACTTTAAAAACAGGATCCACAGAATAAAACAGTGGTCAAGTGCAATACGGAATGGTGGGTGTGTGTTAGGTGGGGAAGGACAGTCTGAACAGATGGGTTTTGAGTCTGGATTTGAGGAGTGGAAGAGAGTCAATGGTACGGAGGTCAGGGGGGAGAGAGTTCTAGAGCTCGGGGGCAGAGTGGCTGAAGGCTCTGTGTCCCATGTTGATGAGTCTGGCTGGGCGGACGGAGAGTGTGAGAGTGGAGGAAGAGCAGAGTGTGCGGGCAGGAGTAGCAGGGTGGAGTGGTGAGAAGTATTTTGAAGTTGATTTGTTGTTTAACAGGAAGCCAGTGGAGTTGTCGGAGTACGGGGGTGATGTGGTGAGCTGTGGGGGTCCGGGTGATGATGCGAGCTGCAGAGTTTTGGAGGAGCTGCAGTTTCTGGAGGGATTTGTTGGGGAGGCCGAAGAGAAGTGAGCTGCAGTAGTCAATCCTTGAGGTCACGAGGCTGTGGACGCGGATGGCGTTGGTGTGGGGGGTGGGAGAGGGGCGGAGACGAGATATATTGCGCAGGTGGAAGTAGGCAGACCGAGTGATGTTATTGATGTGAGATTGGAAGGAGAGTGAACTGTCGAGGATTACACCCAGACTCTTGACCTGAGGGGAGGGGAGGACTAATTAGTCTTACTAGGTAAGACTAATATAATCCTAGCTAACTAATCCCCTATGGGTTTGCAGTGGCAGGACATGCATTTCAGACCTTCGAACTGAATCCACCTCTGAACACCATAATAATGACCCCCTGGTTTAATACATTATACATTTAGACCAAACCGGGCGCCACCTTCACATATAGTATATCAAATCAATGTTATATTAGTTTTATTCACTCACAAACAGAAAGAGCTTTAACGCATTTCTTCATAAAACTGCAAATAGCGCAAATCAAAACAATCAATCCCCCAAACCAACGTCACAGAGACATTATACAGACAAACTGTGCACTGGGAGATAGTTTGCTGCTCGGAGCCTGCAGTCAGGGGTCCCCATCGTACTGGCAGATGAATCCTTCCTCTGTTGAGTCAAGTATGCTAGCATCAGGGTCGCCACTCTCTCTTCACAGCGTCTAGCTTTTCTTTTTCTTGAGAATGATGTTTGTAACTATATCTACCAAATCAATATCTTCTCCTTCAGCCATAGAGGGTTGAAAAAACAAAACTAAAACAACTTGTTGCACTACACAAATGATAATTGTTATTTTTCTGACAGAGGAAATTATGATCTCAACGTCCATTCACTTTTGGTTTCACCCTGACCACTGTTCTGATTGGCTTCGCGTCATAGTCCACATTCTCTTTGACAGGCTACACGTCACATTCTATCTGCATGGATACACGTCATATTCTCTGATTATACGTCACACTCCACAACCTTGTGCTTCTGGGTCCTCCTCAAGCCACACACCATAAAAATATCTGCCCTAAAGGATCCAAAAAAACCCCAATTTGAGATTGGAGCTATCCAATGGTCCTTCAGAAGAGACAGGAACAGTCTTAAACAAAAAACACACAGGAATATTGAAAATAAGTGTAACCATGATGTTCCATTAGTTCTTAGCTCGGCCAAAACATCACAGACCAGGTAACACAGATAAGGAGCATTGATAAAAGGAGGCATAATTTTGTTACAGCACATTTATTTTAGCAGTTCCCCTGCTTACCGCCCCCTACTGGCTGGTCCAACAAGGTACTGCTCAAAAGCCCACATTGTCACATAAGTATTGTTGCAAAGATCAGTGGGCCTCATTCATGAATAACTTCGCAAGAAACTTCTTAAATTTCTTCTCAAGTCGTTCTTAAAGGAATAGTTCACCGTTTTTACATACTGACATATGTTCTTACCTTACCTTAGACTAGTTAATACGTACCTGTGTGATCTTAGTCCGTGCGCTCTGTCATGCAAACGGAGCAAAAACGGGAGGACAAATGCAGCCTCCTCTGTATACTGTGTAGCACCAAAAGGTAGCTCCCGCTAGAAGCTACCAAACTCTTCCAAGTGTTCCCTATTAAATGTATATAGTTACGTGACGTGTTACACTGCAAAGTATAGTAACACAGAAATGTAACTGTCGATTTTCTCAGCGGATAAAACGGGTACTATATTGTGAGGCGTAGTAATCTGAGGAGCGCTACGTCCGCGCACTAACTTCTCTCCGTACTACAAGTCACGCTGCTTCTATTGACGGAAGTGAGCGAGAGAGAAGTCTCCGGACAGAAGTTAGTGCGCGGACGTAGCGCTCCTCAGATTACTACGCCTCACAATATAGTACCCGTTTTTCATCCGCTGAGAAAATCGACAGTTACATTTCTGTGTTACTATACTTTGCAGTGTAACACGTCACGTAACTATATACATTTAATAGGGAACACTTGGAAGAGTTTGGTAGCTTCTAGCGGGAGCTACCTTTTGGTGCTACACAGTATACAGAGGAGGCTGCATTTGTCCTCCCGTTTTTGCTCCGTTTGCATGACAGAGCGCACGGACTAAGATCACACAGGTACGTATTAACTAGTCTAAGGTAAGGTAAGAACATATGTCAGTATGTAAAAACCGGTGAACTATTCCTTTAA